ATGAAATTTAAATGCAGAAAGATTTATGTTAAAAATATTTCTGGAAATGTACCATGTCCACGGTCCTACTCCCGAAATGATGTGCATACAATGGACTCCGGACTAGGTTTGTTCCTTTAAGACTTCCAACAAATATGACCGAGTTGCGAAAACAAGGTCAAACAACTTCTATACAACGAAAGGAGACTGTAACCAGACAAAAGGCAACACCATCTTGGTCTTCATACCTTCGATTAAAAATATTTTTATTCGCAAGCCCTCTACTAGTACTGGAATCTTGTTCAAATGTCCAGATGGAGCTAGAAAAAAATTACCGAGTCGATTTTTGTATGAATTTCTTCTTGTAAGATATAGAGTAATAAAAATGTGCAGTTACGTTGTGAGTCAAAATAAGTGATGCACTAATTAAATAGAATGAACTATGAGAAGTAAAATAATTTGATGGCACAAGTGATAAAATTCTAATAAAAACAGACAATATGGATGTTCAATATATTCAACTCTTAAGGAAACTTTAATGAAACGCAGGTCATCAAGATTCCTGCGTTCGAAATAGCTTGATTTCTGGTCCGATACAAGCTCTCATTACTGTCATTATATTCTATACCTAAATGATAATGAAAGCAAAACAAGGTAGTACGAGGGTAAAGTATCAGGTCAATGCTAAAAGTTGAATTGATGGGGTGATAACTAAGAAGGATATCTAAACTCAAATCGTAATACTGGATCATGGAATTGTGCGACTATGCTAACCCATATATATGAAAAGGCACGCACCTTACGATCGACTTCAGCTCCACGTTCCAACAGTAGCTTGACGACTGGAAGGTGGTTATAATGAGTGGCAATGTGAAGGGGCGTTAGACCATTGCGTCCAACGGCGTTTACGAAGTTATCGCCGGTACCAGCAACTTGCAGTAAGGCGCGTGCAGCCTTAGCGTGGCCACGTTTCGCAGCCAGATGGAGGGGAGTAAAGCCCTTCTGGAAGGAAGAGTAGAGGGTTACAGAG